TATAGAAATTCCAGAAATTAAATCTATTGTTTCTTCAATTCACTTTACTTGTGTAGAAGTAACACTGTAACATCCTTCATTACCTTTTCCTGGGAAGGGCTATACTTCAGCTTTGAAGTATGGGAGCAACTTTCACTACATGGGTCATTTTTATCTGACTGATGGAAGGATAACTCACTACATTCTCAAAGCAAAAAATCTGGATAGTGGAAACATGCAGATTTCTCTCTTTCTCACATGCACACTTGAAGAATTTAATCCAAATGTAAAAATAATTCTAGGAGTTCAGGTTGGGAGCTTCTCAGTATGGGTGACAAATCCAGATAGAATTTTAGTCAGACAATATTAATTCTCCTATAAACATGAAAATTAGTCAGCCTGGATTAAAAAGAATTTTGTTTTATTTGGACAAAGGAACACACGTCTTTAATGATAGATTAAACATGTATCTTTTACCTGCAACAGTAAGAATCTCAACATAATTTTAAATCTGTTATCACAAATTATATCACAACTAGTCAATGTTCAAGACTAATATGGATATTCCTTTATTTATAGCTTAATAATGCTTCAACCTTCTAAATGCATAAAGGCACAGTTCTTCCAGAACAGAAAAATCACACCTAGCCCTGAACAAGAACACTTAAACCAGTAATCCAGAAATAAAAGCAAAAGGATTAAATTAACAGGGTAATGTACACCTATTGCAGTACAAGGAGAAAGGGTAGACAGAAATTTACTACAGTAAGTCAACATACTTAGAAGACCATGAATGCTACTAAAACATGTATCAAAGTCCTTTTTGTCCTGAATATATTTAAGTAGTCCTAAAGAACTGTTTAATAACAGAAGTGGAAATGTTTCTAGAAATGCTGGTGCCAATATCTTTTGCAGGTATTGACACCAGAATGACTGGCAGAGAACAGATCTGTAGTGAATTTCTAGATCAAGTCAAATAACAAGATCCTGAATTAATTTATTTCATTTTTAATACAACTTTTAAGTACAATAGCTTAGCTCTTTAGTCTCAGCAGCTACAGGTACCAGTATGGAATTTTTTTTATTGTACTAAGTTTTTAAGTCATGGCTTGCGATGTTAATTTGTCCAGCTAAAACAGTTTTTTCTTACTAAAATTCTTAGATGCTTATGATCATTAATACTGATGCAAATGGACAAACTCAACTGACATCATCATAAAGGATCTGAGCTCAAGAAACACTGACACTAAGTCATATGTTGATAGTATCCACAGTTATTGCTCATGTATTTGTTTCCCAGTAATTACCTTTCCTCTTAGCTACTCATACTGACTTACTTCAATTCAGGCTGGAAATAACCACAAAGAACACACAGAAAACCATAAAGTAGCTCGAGTCAGTCTTACAGTAGCAAGTTTCAAAGCTTTAATGGTACCAGATGTGTTGAAAGGAGCTTTGATGTAGGTTAATCAGTATGTTTCCAACATACTAAAACCCCTCCATCTTTTGTAGGGCTTATGCCAATCACAAATCTTTCCACAGCTAATTCTCAGCAGAGCTGAATTTAAAAAAAAAAAAAAAAAAAAAAAAAAAAAAAAAAAGCCAACATTAGGTTATACTTCCTACTTTGGAAATCATTGATTTGTTACCCTCTTCTCTCACTGTACCTCTCAAATTCAGAGCCAATCAGACACAGAAATAGTTAATCTCCACATGTGTAAAAACATATCTGGTAATTAGTGAAGAAAAATTTTGCATTAAAGACAGAAAAAACATTCATTTGCAAGCACAGACTGTACTCTTTCAGTTAATAGATACATCATGTAACATGGAACTTAAACATGGCCATTCAATTACTTAAAAAATGAAAAATGAGCTATTCTGAATTTCCTTGTAAAAATTAGCAATATTTATATATGGTTCAACATCTTTAAGGAATAAATCCCACAAACATTAGTGCATATAAACAATGATAAAAACATTTCTGCATTATTTTAACTTTCAGCTCTGGATGTAGTACATTTTCTATACAACAGTATGTGACCATAACAGGAGTATCACTGTGCGTTATCAAAATAGGAATTATGTGCTGCTCATCGTTGGAAGTATCTTGAAAAAAACCCAATTATTTACTTTACTCAATTGGAGTCCTTTTTTATTTAGATTTCCTAGAAGACTCAAGTTACCCAGAAACATGGATGCTAGACAATTTGTTTGGTACAAATTTTAAGAAATTTTCGAGACTTACCCATACAGTTAATATTGCATATTAATGCACCCTCCTCCTCCCTCTCCCAAAAAAGCCGTAGTAAATTAATTTAGCCTAGGTAGGTTAACACCTAGACTCATTCAGGAGTTATGTAGACTTCCCAAGCAAGGTGGGTTCCCACTTACAGTAGCCTCTCTGCTTTGCAATCACGTAACGGGGAACAATCAAAGTGTTGGACTGGCAAAGGCACAGACACGGGTTACTTAACTGGTAGGTAAGGCAGCTGATTTAACACCTCTAGATAACCTAGGATAAAAGCTTATTCTATGTTTGAGCTTGACTCTAAGGGTACCCTACTGAAATAAAAAGATAATGGCAAGTAATGACTAGACTATTGTTAACATTCTATGTAATATGTAATTTTCCCTAGAATCTATTAAACTTCTCCCAAGAGCCTGAAAAGGTAAGTGATAATGAACTCTTATTTACATACTTTTTTTCCAAAAAAGCCATCTAAATCGTCTAAACTGACAGCAGAAGTGTTATGCTTCATGATACAATTTGTAGGTATTTTAAAAGCCATTAAGAGTTTTACATTTGTATAATACTACACAACAATAACAATATCCTGAGGTACTTTATCTGTGAGTTCCCAACAGCTCCTTTGTTCACAGGTTCTGCCTAAAGCATTACTAGTTTCATATATTTGGAAACCGCCCTCACCAGCACCTCTCCAAGTTAGGGTATCAGAAGTACTTCTGACAAATATTCCTGTCAGCTGGATGTCCAAGTTAAAAAAACAATAAATCTAATTTTGGTGTTACTGCTTCTAAGTTTCAGTCACTGCACACACAAACCAAGTAGAGGTAATATGAAGGAAGAAATTCCCATTCACGTTCTTTGTTGTTATTGTTCTTTGGTTTAAAATATATGTGAAATACAGTTTATTAATATATTATAAAATACCTCATTTACAACTCCATATTATTATCTGTATGTTCTGCATTAGCTCCTTAATGATGCTTCAATACATTTGACATCCCATGCTGAATATCAGTATGTGCATTTCCTACCCAGTACACAGAGAAGGAAATCAGATGTTTTTCCAGACCAAGTTTCATATTTATTCAGAAGGCATACATCTCAACTGTTTTGTTGGGTTTTGGTTGTTTGTGGGTTTTTTTTTATTATTTTCAATTTTTAATTTCATGAAACTGACAAATTAAGGGACTTCTTACTGTTTGAATAATAAAAGCAATACTCATTGGTGTTTATTGTGGTTCAAAGGGCCTGTACCACACCACCACCACCACCACCACCACCATTTAACCCCTCAGTAAAGGTTTTAATTGGTGTCCCATAGGATTTCATCCACTGTAAAGGAAAACATCAAGGCATGCTGGCAAGTAAGTGTCTTGAAAAATACTTTAAAGCTTTGATCCTCCTCATTAGAACACACAAATACAGAATAACCTATCCTATATCCAAAACAATCCATGGCATAACAGTAATACCTGGATTTGAAATTTAAGAAACTCTTACAATCATTAAATACACATTACAAAAACAATTGGCAAATCTGAAAAGGTGATGGTTAATATATATTAAAGTTGCCTTTAAGTTTTAAGGTAACAAAAACTATATGCCTGCAACTTTCTGACACCAAACTTCAAAACTATCAAGAAAAAGCCTGGACTCTCTGAAATGTTTTCATTTCTAGTTTCCTGACTCAAATGAGAATTTTATTCTGATCAGGAATGAAAAATGTACTGTATTAAGATACGATAAAGTACATCAAATTTCAGTCTAACAAGAATTTTAAGAAGAGAATTGTTAACAGAGGTCTGTGATTAACGGCAACTGAAAATTTTTTCTGCTATCATGTTATAGAAAAATCAGTCATAACTGGATTGTAACATCGAGACAGGCACTTTTTAAACAACATGTTAGTTTAAAATCAAAGATAAAAGGTTTTTTTAAGCCTTACGATGTTTCAAAAAGGCATGAATCACTTATTTGCCCCTCTGTTTTGTTATGTACAAATGTTTTCACCCAACTTAAAAACCGAAAACATCAAAAAACTCATTGGTTATGATCACTACAAATTTTAAGGTGACAGCTTTAAGTAGAAGGGCATTGCAAAAGTGTCTTTGCTAAAATGAAAACTCCAGGCTTTGTCTGAATTCTCAGACCAGCAAACATATTGTCTGATAGCAAACCTGCATTTCATTTCAAAAGCAAAAGCTTTAAAATAAACTGCAGTACACAACTTCAATATGATTATAAGAACTCATTAATGCTGATACCACAGGTGATTTATTGGTTTATTGGTGGTTTTGGTTTCTTTTTAATAAAACCTCTTCCTCCTGCCAGAATACTGTTATACAGAAAAAAAAAAAAAAAATTGCTACTTTCTACTACTGTCAGTCTTTCAGATACAGTAAAAAAACCTCAACATACAACAGTTTTAGAGCAAATCTGAAAAAAGTTATACATCAGTAATAAGGCATCCACTTTACAGCTGTTTAAACAAAAAAAGGAAATATTTCCCAAAATATATATTTTGGATTTGTGTAAACAAAGTTTATATGTATTGCTTCCATTCATTTCAAAAATATACACTCACATCGACTGAAAGTGATCTTGATGCTATGTTTTAAATTACTGTAATTTATCCAGATGTAGTCTGGAGATACAAACCCCAAATATTTTTGAACTTAGTATCTTGAAATATGTCAAAAATTTCAATTATGAGAAGTAAGCTAAAAATATGCCCCAAATTTGATGCCATTTCACTGAATGAAGAGAAAGTACTATGAAAATAAACATTCATCTGGTTTCCTAATAATAAATATAATGACAGTTATTATAACATACTGCAACACAGGAAGCATTACTATATTGACCTTAACGTTCAATCAGTAGTTTTTAAATCTTTCCTCATTGAGGCTTGAATCTTCTACCTTGTCAGCTGTCCAACAACTTTTAAGAGGGTTTTATTTTCTTGCTTCAATTGTTCATTTTCATCTTCTATATCATCTAGGTCCTGTGAAAGGAAAAAGAAGCATTTCTCAGGACATAAATAGTAGCAGCAGGAATCTTAGCTCTGAAATGAAGACGTTTGGGTTAGGAAGATATTAGTGCCACAGTAGCTCCTCTTAAATCTGTTAAAACAGCCTTTTTCCAAGAAATCCAAATAGGATGGGCATGATTATTTTGTTGGCAGATACAGAGTGTATTAGTCAACTATTGCCTCTGCTACCCAGACTCTGCTTGTCTGCAACTATCCTGCTCACAGGTATACATCACTGGTTATTACTGCAATGAGGCCTGCTTTGTGTTTTATGTGAAGTACTAACATTTTCAGAAACAGTACTGCCTCTCCATTTTTTCCCTTGCTTTCTGGGAAAAAAATAAAAGGCATTTTGTAACTTTGGTCGAAACTGCTAGTAAAAGAACAGACAGCATGCACAGTAATAATGCAGACTTAAAATAGCTTGCTCCTACCCCAAATGTTCATCCCACTTCCACCAATAACCATATTTACTCACTTTCCATTGCACTTGACTTCCTACAAGGTCTTTGCAAACCTTTGAAGTGAAAACCAGTGAAAAAGGCTGCTTAATGCAAGCATTACTTCAGTAAAAATAATTTTACTGCACATAAAAAAAACCCAAAACATGGATAAAACAGATCAAGAACAAAAAAAAAAGAAACAGAAGAGTGACCTCAAAGACAGCACTTTAAGGAGGAAAATGAAAGGCAGGTGAAGGAGGAATAACCAGGATTCTCATTAAATATATTAGGTGCCTTTTGATGGAGAACTGCAAGACCCTACTGTTGACATGGTAGACTAAAAACACAACAGTAGTAGAGAAAAGATTTTCTCTCTATCGTTCCTCCAAGTTGTTAAGTGGTGTTTGACACACACAGCCCATTTTCTTATTTCTCTTTAGTGGAGTCATTCCAGAAGTGCATACTAGAGATGTTGTGTTTAATCAGTGTAAGTATTTTTAAAAGCCTCTTCAGTTTGCCAAGCCAAAATCCATAGCACAATACCTTCGCAATTACTTTATTGTTTTTGTAATGTGGAATCAAGAAATCACTAGCAGAAATTCCTCTTTGCCTCACTGAAGTAATGCTGCCTCACAGCATGAATGACTTCCAGGACAAGTATTTGACCACCCCAACATAACAGATACAAGTGACTTAAACATCTAAACACAGAAAGTTTTGATGGATAGTTACTATAAATACAGTTTCTATGTAATGGTAAGACACCTACTTTGTTTTCCCTCTCATGCAGTTCAAATCAATAATCAGATAGAAGGGGCAACAGTTTCTTAAAAAAGCTATATTTATTTAGTTCAGGATGCATAATACTTTGTGTGAACTTCTTAACCCAGCCTCAGTTAAAGCTTAACCTTCTGCTTAAAATACCTGTCATTTACTCAAAATATTAAGAGTTTGTGAAATGTTTGTGCTGCAAAAATAACATTCCAAAGGCTATTACAAGTAAAAGTTTCTTGAATACAAGCCAGGAAAAATAACTATTTGCAGTTTAAGTATCTACAGAAACAATGGACCAAGAGATGCAGGTGGTTTTTGCCACACTGAAAGTTAAAAGTTTCTTATTCAAAATTACAACAATAATTTATACTTAGAAAAAAGAAGCAACAGCAGGAAAGCTTGGACTGCACATACCGAAGGAACCAATAACTACACAACTGACAGTAATTGGATTATAAATCCTCACTGACAGACTCTCTCCAAACACCAATTTAACTACAATGACATCTTAGTGAGGTCAGAGATGACCAAGTGTAAACTAGTCAACAGTTGAACTTAGCCTGCAAATATTTAAATGTCTCAAGATGCCTCTCCCTTCAGACATTTGAGGGTTTTACGAAGCAATCACTCCTTTCTTTACAAAAAACGTGGCAGACATACTTTTAGTGGCTAATGCACGGGAGTGAAAGAATGCTATTTATGGTGGAAGGCCCTTTCTATTTCTCAATATTAATGTAGCTCATGTTCTTTAAGTAACTTTGTGATGTACTCACTGATCTCAGTAAAATTAACTAAATATATGTACTTAAGATGAGAAAAAGCCTGGCAAGAAGTTTTCAGGATTCTTAGAAAAAGTTTTTCAAGGGTAGCACAAGATCTCTGCCAATGAGGGATGCATCCGTGGTTATGAATTGGCTGAAACTTCTACGAAGAGCATTTCTTTAAATATGAGGGCTGAGCAGTCAGAAGCTATGCAGTAAAATGGGATTTAAAAAAAAGTCACTTAAGCTCTCTGACGTGAAATTCTTTCCATGTCTGTGCAACCTAACATGCAATAACTGCATATTTTGATTAATAGAAAAGATGGAGAAATACCACAAACATGTATATGGTCATATTTAAAGACCCCAATTTAGGTTACCTAGCAGCAGAACCTTTAAAAAAGATCTCTGCGTAACTTCACTAAGTAAAGTTTGGTCCTCCAGACATCCATTTATCTGAGCACAAGGCTGAAGATCTCAACTGGTCTCCCCTGTAAAGCTTCCCATCCTGATGCCAGCCTACACAGTAACGCTTCATGAAGAACAGATGGATGTCCAACTGCTGGCTCTCATAACCTCAGTTATGATAATACATCTTAAGCAAATACAACTCCCCTATTAACTTCCAGAACCTTCTATCACCGGAATACTGCAGTATTTCTGTAGCTTTTCTTAACATTCTAAACCGTTCCTCTTTCCAAATCCCATGAATAGCCAATATAGAAGCAGTCATAAATCCAAGAGCGATTAAAAACATAAAACTGCATCTGTTTTAATGGTAGCATCACTTGAGACAGGGGTTCGAACTCTTGTAAGAAGACAAATTATTAAGCTGGTCATAAAGTCAAAAGGCAGCTGTTTCATCACTAAGAAAATGCCAAGGGATGCAAACATAAATAACTTGCACTACGAATAAGCTAATAGACAATGCTACAGCTCTGATAAACGCTGACCTGACTGAGAAAAAAAATCAGAAAATATTCTTTTCTGCATTTAAGAGAGGCTGTCTATGGAGCACAGACAAACTCGTTTTGTGTACCTTGTGAACAGTACCATTTTGGTCATTTTATTATAAAGAAGTTTCCAGAATGACTGTATTCTGCTTTAGGTTTTCTTCTCACACAGCAAGCCGAAGCTGCCATCATACTTTGACACAGGCATGGCACAGGCACTGCTTGACTGTGTAAAATGTCAAATGTGTAAAGATGGCTTCTAGTCAGACACTCCATTTAATTTAGGACACCATACTTCAAACATAGCAGGGGAAAAAAAAAAACAACAAACCATTGTTCCTGGAACAGCAAACCTTGCAACTAGTCATGGTCCTAAACTACAAGTTTTCAGTGATTTAGGTTATTCTGATTTGTTTTTCTGAGTTCTGTGTCAGGAACTCGGGTGTGACCTGCAGTATCAAGTAGCTCTGCCATCCATTCTGTAGAAGGACACTTGCCTTGACTATAGTAAAGTCATCAGCTTAGATGTGACAGATTCTTTGCAGAATGGAAAAACAGCATAAAGAATAATTCTTGCATTAAAATAAAAATCTCTTTAAAACAGACAATACTTTGTTTGTCCTACACATTGGCTCCTAGCTTTCTTTATTCAAGAAATAAAAGAAACCTGCTTCAGAATAACCTCAGCTACTTTAGTCATCTAGATCAGTTTGCAAAGTCTTCCTAAACTATAAATCAATAGTGTAAAAAGAAAGCTTGCCTCTGTGCATAGAAGAGTTTTTGCCTCCCTTCACTCCTGGATTGACCAAAGCCACTCCTGAATTTTTTTTCTGTTTTCTTATGGGAATGAATGCACTCGACCAGTAGAATCATATTTCCCCAAGTAAATCCAGGTTCTGCACCTCAGCCAGGAAGTGCAAGATGAGGTCACTAATCCACTCTACAAAAGAGTTTGTCTGCCCTTTAAACTGGGACTTGGTAACACTGTTTTTTTCTATCACAGAATCATAGAACTATCTGGGTTGCAAGAGATTTTAAAGTTCAAATGCCCCTGCCATGGGCAGGACACCTCCCACTAGACCAGGCTGCACAAGGCCCCATCTAACCTGGTCTTTAAAACTTCTCATCCTGTCCCATTCCCAACGTCTTGCTCTTCTACCCCCTCTTCTCCTGCCTACACACTTTGTCTCAGTGATGCTAGCTCAAGTCTCCTGCCCCCTGCCTTGTTATGACTTTACTTGGGGATCAACAATAAGGAGTATGAGTATGTGTCAAAATATAAAGCACTTATTGCCAAATCTTTCTAAGATCATCTAAACCATTATTAGTAACTAAAAGCTTACTAAAATGAAATTTGATTCATAATTACTTTGTCTAACAAAAGTCCTGCATAAAACTTTATCCATATGAGAATGTGCTTACTCTGTTTAATAAATCAATTTCTTCCTTCAGCTTTCCAATTAGTTCTTCTTTGTCCTGTGTCATCTTCGTTAATCTTGCATTTTCCTGTCTCTCCTTTGCAAGTTCCTAAAACCAGAATACACACTGAAGTTTGAAAAGGAATTTTAGTTTTGAGAGAGTTTTAAGCTATTACCATTTAAAACAAAGAAGAAACCCCCCCACACCACTTACCTATAATTCCTTTTCTACAGCAAGTCAAACCCACATCTTAAAGCCCTTATGTTTCAAGGAGCTGAAGAATCACATTGAAGAAAATATTTTACCCACAGCAAACCTGTGTGGTTTCCAGAGATCATGTTTTAATTAATATTTAACTTAGGCATGAACCCAAAACTGGATAGAGTTCCAAAACAGAAGTAAATAAATGGAAAGTATCAGCTTCCAAATCTGTTATATTGGGAGGGTTATGCCTTTTTTTCTGTTGGTTTTGTTTGGTTTGGGGGGGACCAGTGGGGGGTGGGTGTGGGAGTGGTGTTATACTACTATTAACAATGAATGAAGACTCGCTGCTACATCTGTGTGCCTGAATGTGAGGAAAAAATTGTAACATCTGCTAGAAATTCAGTAAATAGGGTTCAAGGTACTGAAAAAAAGACCTTAAATCTTCCTCTGTTTTCTGTGTTACTGGCAGCTAAATTATTTCAGGAGGAAGCTGATTTGGAAAGAAAGACTATGGTGTACTTCACTCAAATCAGGCTCCCCCAGGATAAAAAAAAAAACAACCAGTAATTTCTACAAAATATGCTTTATTGTAATCCTTTCTAAAAAAGATGTATTCAAATTGTGTTTACTTAGTAACTTTCATCCATATGAACTCAAGAATATTTGACAAGTTACCCACAAAAATGCACTGCAGGGGAAGAGAGAAAAGCCAGTAACAGATTACACAGATGGCATTAGCAAAACACTGGTTTAGGTGAAAACCTCAGATTTAACATTATTACATTTTCCCAAAATGGTTTGCATGATGGATGTCTGAAATAATGAAAGCTTTGTTTTATACACATTTTTAAATGTTTAAAACTTTAACAGACAACTGGCTAGCAATTAAATTTTATATTTCAGTACATTAAAAAAATCCAAACCAAGAAGTAGACCAGAAGCAGGCTTGCTAATTTTCTGAGCAGCCACTGAGCTCCCTCTTCCTCCACGTTATTTGCCCTGTAATGGTGTGTCACAAGGTACACATGAAAAATATGCAGAGCACTGCTGGCTCTCTAAATGTATTCTCTTTACCTCAACTATTTCTCACTTATATACCAAATGAAAACTAAACATCTGTGATTAGAAAGTTCAAATTCTTCTCAATCCATCTGATTCTTTATACATTTTTACAGACATAACTATCTGTACCTCAAACTTTTAGCATAATTTCTATATATTTTATTTGTATATTTTCCACAGAGTTTCAAAGGTACTTTATTTCAGATGTATGCCATGCAGATGTTAGTTGCTACTTACCCTTTCAAGTTCCTCAATCCTCTTTTCCAAAGCATTACTTGGTATGGAACTGCCAGAAGAATTTGCATCCCTGCTGTATCTGCTGTAAGTTGTCCTGTCTGTTCTGGAATATCTATTTGGAGCATCATCTTCTGGTGCATTAGCTGTGCTATGAAGGCAAAGAGCAAAGCAGACATTTATTTACACACTTAATGAAATGGAAACGACAGAAGTAACAAGAATGGCTCTCCAAAGCACTCAACAGGTCGGTCTAAGAAACTGCAGAGAACTTACTTCACAGCTCTTCTGTTGCTGAGAACTCACTAAACTCACTGCCACAGGGAGCTGAATATTTGGATAACACAGGTCTCATCATCATCAAAGGTTATCAACTGTAAACATATATTTATCCTTTCTTCTTTTTAAAGTTCAAAAGTGTTATGAACTGTGCACAATAAAAAACAAGCTAAACAACTTAAGTAAAGTACCACTATCAAGTTTAAACTAAGCATCTTTGTAAGTAGATGAAAACTTAAAAGATGACAACCAAGTACATGCCCAAAATGTAAGAAGCTTACACATATCAACTGACTTTTGAGGAGTTATGTGCATGGCCTGTAAGGAACTGGGAAGCAAACCCAAGTGAGAAAGTGATACAGCCCACCATATTAATTCCATGCCATTTCCAAGTACTTTACTTCAGAACATGGATGCAACAGTTTGTCGTAACTCAGCTGGTAGGCACTCATTCATTACCTGGCAGTATCTCTTTTGGTTTAGATCATGTGTCTATTCATTAAAAATCACTACCCTGGATTCTTAACAGATAAGCATTGCAAATGCACATCAGCTAGTTTTAAAAAGCTTATGTGTTCTCTTTTATGATTGTATGTACAAAACGTGACAATTTCAAAACATATGTGAGAAGCCAAGCATTTTCAAAGTCACAAATTTAACATTCATTTTCCAAATAGTTGTATTATTTACCTGCAACATAGAATCTAATGAGTAGGAGCGGAACAGCGTGCCCCAAGACCAGGCATAGAGATAGAGATCTTTCCCATCTCAATCCACCAAAACCGCACTTCTTAGGCTTTGAAAATACACAGCTAAACAGCCAAATGCAAAAGAAAAAACCCTTGTTGAGTCTTTACCAGATCTCAAATGTAGACACTCAAAAGCCATCTGGACACATTCCTGGGCAATCAGCTGTAGGTGGCCCTGCCTGAGTAGGGAGGCTGGACAAGATGCCCTGTAGAGGCCCCTTCCAACCTCAACCAGTCTGTGATTCTGTGAAATCACACAGCTGAAATACGTACACAATGTTTTTCCAGAGCACTTACCAAAGAATGAAAACCACTGTGAGCACCCCTACAACACTGCCTTTAATACATAAAAGAATACACGATTCATGTGCTCATTTAACAATTTTGCATTTCCTAACTCCAGAAAACTACTACTGACAACATGCAAAACTAGATGGATGCAGTGCAAATGAAAAGCAGAAGTATCTGGCAAAAGGATGTCTTTTCATGGATATAAATACTGTTTTTCTCCAGTATGTGTGAAGTTTCCAAGGCACACTGACACAATTGTAAGGAATTTTGTAGCTTAATGTTATTACCATATTTAGCACTGTTTATTCTTCATCTAGAAGGTCTTTAAAAAAACCCACATTTCTAGGACCGGATATGCGTGTTGCAACACAACATAAGAGAAATGTTTTAACTTAACTCTATAAATTCTAGATTATTTAGCTTTCTGAAATGTTTTGTTTCATGTTGTTAAACTCTCAAGAATAGCCCACATAAGAAAGGCTTAATTTTTCATCACTAAAAAATGAATTCTTTTGCCAATATACTTAATATCTCAACTCAGCTCCGGTGAGTGATATTGGCAGATGTTCCTACAGGAAAGTCAGAAGAAAGAATGCGTAGATAGGAAGGATTTCATTAATAATGAGAATTAAGACATCTTCTGTATTTTCCCTGAAACTCTCTTCACTGATTCCACTGAGGAGCAAACCCTACTAAACACACTCCTTTTCAGTATCAGCAAGTACAAAAGACACACCACAAAGACTTCTAAAAAACGGGATTTAAAGAAACATTTCAGGAGGCATTAGTACATAACCTAACACAAGGAACGTGACAGCTATAAAGTTCATTATTTTGGCTGTTGTGGCCAATTGCCAGAATACAACAATATCAAAAAAGGTACCATCTGAGACACAGCAGACGTATCTCTTGCAAAGAAATGAATTTTACTTTTCAGATACAATGTCACTTCACAAGCCTTAAACAAGAAAGAAAAATTATCTGTAATAACAATGTCATTGATCTTGGTTTCAATTCTTTACTGAGAGAAAACACCTATTAAACAGCCCCAACAAAGGTATCTCCATGGAAACAACCTTTTTATATATATAACATAAGAAACATATTTTATATTTATAAAGAAATGACAACACTAATACAATAATATTAACAGTAATAATCATCTGTCTAAACTGAAGAGCTTTGTATGCTACTAGGAAAACAAACGGGGTCTATGCCTTCTCTTGGGGGCATTGGGGGGAAAAGTGCACACACATGGCAGCAGAACCTCTTTAGTTTGAGACGGCAACTGAAACCTTGCTGCCTCCACCTCCTAACTGAATAATGGTTTGCAAATACTTGTAACCTGGAACTTGATGGAATGTCACAAAAGGTAGGAAAGAGAAGAAAGCCTATACGTACACTGGGTAAAAGTGGTCATAGCACCAGACGAAAAATGATAGCGGTCTGCAAGTTGAAAAAATTTAGAGTCACTGCTCAAGAATGCAGTTCAAAATGTACTCCAGTTTTTAGCATTCAAGTAGCCTATGCGCATATGAGTGTTTCCACACTTAGAGCTGAAACATCTAGCCACAGGCTACGGCTGCAGGAAACAGCATTTTTACAATTATTTTTCAAGAAGAGTATCTGAGATTGTGTTTGTACACTGAATTAACAGTGTCCACCCAGAGAGTGGCAAACGAGAAAGCATCTGGACAGAAACATCCCAGACTGCTGCTGGTTTTAAAGGGGCACGTTCAACAAGATGTGTAACAAAATTCAACTAGTTGTTCCATTAGCTTAGTTTCAATTAGCCACTACTAAAATGCCATTTTAAATGTCTACTCCTGTACTACAGTGCTGAAAACAGAAAACACTTTGGCAACTTAAGAAGAACTTTTTGCAGTTTTTTTTTTCTGGCTGTACTTAAAATAAAAATCGTATAGTAAAATCAAGCCACAGTGCAGTTTGACCACTCTTACACAGAAACAAAAAGTTTATTTCAGAGTGATGTACTAGCAATTTCATTTAATATAAAATACAACCATTTATTCACACAGGGGCAGGTTTAAAAGCATTACTACAGAAAGATGAAATAAAAGTTGTTCCTTCCAATGCCTCTTTGGTTCTTTCAATGTTTTCCTGCAGCACTGTCCAAATTGCAACTTCATCCAAGTCAGCCTCAAATTTCACTGATTTCAATCAATCGAATTCGATCAATCTAATTTATTTCAACTACAACACATTTATTTTTATTGCCAGGAGCCTATAACTATACTTGATTTGAAAACTCCTAATTAATTATACTGCTGAAATCCAGCCAGCTACCAACAGCTTCTTCAGAAAAACGAGCATTTATAAATAGTCCACCCTGGACTTTTGTTACTTCAGACTGCTTAAGCCATCTCCATGGCTTTCAGAGCTGGGCTAAGGAAAGGCAGTCTTGCCTTCCCCACAGCTGCAGGTTCCTAGCCTCCTCCACTCTTCCTGGCTCTTCCCTTCAGGTGACTGAGTGGGAAACCATTCAAAGAGCTGGTGCAGCAATCCCACAGCCCAACTCAAGAAGCCATCAACTTCCAGCCACAGAGGCTCCCTGAAGCACCACTCCGTCCAGCTGCATGAGCACTGGCACAGGGACAGTGAGGAACTGCAGTTGGCTCAACTTAGAGCATCAAAAATTTCTGCAAAAATAAACCCTCAGTTTTTCTGCCTTCTCATAACACCAGTGTTGGCTGAAAAGGGATATGTAAGTCAAGAAAAGCCCCTTGAGTGACCCCTGTCTATTTTAAGTGTTCATATCTGCACAACAGTGGTCCTTTTTTAACAAGGTAGATGAGACAATGCTTTAACAGCCAGCCCTCACTGCAAAACTCCCAAACACAGGCAAACAGGCAAGTCTGGGCACAGGGTTACGAAACAGAATTTTGCAGCTGTATTTTTTTTTAACTAGAGAGACCAGGGTTAGTATGATGGAATGTAAATTGTCCTAAGTTTAAGCTTTGCACTAATCTAAAACCACAGCAAGAGAATTCCAGCAGCATTCTAGCCTTTCCTTCAGAGCATCTCCAATGAATGCTCAAAAGCACTAACTGCTTCTTGTGATCTCTTCTTCCTCATTTATTTCTCAACTCTTGCATGAATGTTGAACTCGAGTACAATGTAATCCTTCAGACTGAGTGGGCAAGTGTCTCTGCCTGTCAAGTTCCATGTCAGTGTGTGCCGTACTAAGCTTCAAAGGGGGGAAAGAAAAAAACCCACCCAACCCTTTCTGACATTTTGTCTGGAAACCGTAAAGCCATACCATATTGCATTCATTTCCACTAATAAACAAAATTATAAGGGGAACACATCCCTGAACCACCAAGAGATTTTAATCTAACTCCTTTTGTAAACTGATCCAGCTTGATCTGTCTGATCCATGAACCACACAAAAATCTTCCAAGTTATTTTAAATCCTGATTTGCAAGGTTTTCTTTTCAATTTAAGACATTTCTAAAAAAGAAGCTAAATTGGTTGAAAAGCTAGTAGACAGTCTTAAAAGTAGGCTGCTAAAACAAATTCTCTGTGCTTATCAAAATATTCCTATGACCACATACATATCTTGCTTTACTGGTATTTGTGAACAAACTTTCTCTTTCACAGAATTCAAGAGAAACATAATTCTTGTTGACATGTAGATTACACTCCAGTGTTTCAATAAACAATGTACACTTTGTCATTCTCTTGTCTGAGAAATCAGTGATGACACCAACTATGCTGATGGCATCAGACCCGAATCAGAAAACACTTCTTACTAATGGCAACGTGCTTGCTTTAGAACAACTACTCATAAAGCAGTGCAAAAACTGGTAGA